TAGGTTAAAAAAAAAAAAAAAAAACCTTCCATCCAGTTTAAAGCTCCAAAAGCATTTACCCTTGGAAATGATTCCCTTTCATAATAAGATGGATTTGCAATGGGCCAAATTGAGTTGAGTGTGAATTGACAGGTGATGAAGTGGAATGATCTCGAGGATATGGCAGCTTATTTGTCACATGGGCTCCTGTAGCGATTGATTCATTATAATTTGAGTTCGTAGGTAGCCGGCCGCTATTAAACGTCAACAAGTCCTCATATTCATCACGGCTCCTGCCGAAGAGGCAGAAATAGAAAACGTAATCTCATCCTGATGCCAGGGCGAGCCTGAGGCACTCCTTCACCTCCCTTTATTCCGTCGAGCCTCCCCGAGGGCTCACACGGTCTGGAAGAGAAGGAGTGGGGGGGATCTATAATCTAGCAGATGGCAGAGGATCTATGGGAAATTCTATAATCAGGAGTTGGCAACCGAACACGGGCTGAGGAGCACCGTGTTTCTCTGAGCTGGGGAAGGAAGGATAAATCCACTCCTATCAGGTGCAGAGATGAAGCCACGGTGGTCCGTTCCTGTCGTCATGGGTGCCGTGCGGAGCAATGGTTCAGCGAGACGAGCAGCTTAGAGATGCCATAGATCCACCAGAGAGATGGTGCGGCGAAAAACAATAAAAAACAAAGTAAAGAAAGGCCTGCGTGTCGTAGAAGGAAGAAAGGGAGAGTGCGTGATGTCTGTGAAGAGTGACTCCATGTTGAGATTGGCTTTCAATGTGCCAGCGGGTGTGAGTCTCCCCTGCTCAATTCACGCAGTCAAACGGCATACACGCAATTTCTCTGCAGCACTACATTTGTAGACATATAGACATCTCCTAAGCCTCCGTGGAAAATGCCACCCTTGCTACAGGCTCATTTCTGCTCCTATCACTAAGCCCCGCTCAACAAAGCCTGTATCCAGTGTTTTTTTGTTTTTTTAACAAGAAAATAGCTATGCGCTACCTGCCTTTGCCTCATGATAACCTCTCCTCAGTAAGCTCCTTGTGGATGGACGTAAATAAACAACAGGACTCATTATGTGTACCGATTTCTTCCCAGCACTCTGGGGACTGTGTAAATAAGCCTTAAGATGACTGAAAAGTCAGCTTCCAAATAACACCGAGCACCAAACTGCTATTAAAATGAGTAAATGGAATGGTTTTATTTTAATTGAGGTCCTTCATGTTGTTTTTTAGTTCATGTAATACATATTGCTTTTTTAAAAATGTTTTATTGAGCCACAGCATTTGTATTCATTGGAAGCGCAGTGAGAATATGCTTTTCCGCCCCTGACTGTGACATATTAGGAGCATTTGAACTTTAGTGCAGTTAGAAGAAAAAGGAGACTCAATTGATCTTCAAGACACATTTTTTATGTCCCTAACCACTCCCTAAAATGAAAAAGAAAATGCTTCAAGCCATAATTTAACTAGTTTTGTGTCCTGAAATTAATTAAAATCAGAATTAATAGGCATTTTATCTACGGTGCTGAAAACAAGGGTACAGTCTGATAATTATTAATTGCTGTTATAGCGTGCAGCTTGAATTACTGTATAATTTGAGTGTGTAAATGCATATATGGGCTGATGTACCGGTCTCAGAAGAGATAATACATAAATTGGAGCAGAGGTGTGACAAGTATGTTTTTTCATTCTTTTGCCACCTAAAGAACTCCTGCTCCGCTCACTCGGTGCATCTGGCCCCCGTACAATGAATGCTCTCACATCTGGACTACGGAACCAATTGTCACGCTGAGAAGAAGGCAAATCAAATCTCACAGCGGCAACTAAGCGAGGAGATTGCTTTTCCTCTCCGCTGGCTGAAGTTGGAGGAGTTAGGTGGGGAGGATTGTTGGGGTTAGAGGCTGCGGGTTAGAGAGAAAGAGAGAGATGAAAAAATGAGGTTAAGGTCTCGTTCACCCCCCCCTTTCCATTACTTTCCTCTCCGGCCCTTCCGCCTTCATTCATAGAGCTCTTAGGGTGTGATTTGGCCTACCGGACCCTCAAGTATGTGGGAAGGAACACAACAATAATTAAGGGGATAGGGTGACACCGGCCGCCAAACTGGGGCCGCTCAGATCATAACAACACATTGTAGAACCTGATTAAGTAGCCATTTGTGGCAGCTCATCTGTAGTTTAAGCAGCCCTCATCTCCGAGCCTGAAACCCGACCTCTGTGAAAGAAATATCGATAGCCCTTATGATTTGATGACGGTCAGCAGTGTAGGCATACAGTACATTACTTTACAGGAAGATTGCCGCTAATGCATGGAAGCTCTCTGGCATAAAGACCTCGAAAGGCCAAGGGCGCCTCTTAAATGCCCTCTGGCCATCAACCTGAATTAATGAAAAACACAAAGGAACATTTCGCAATACAATTGATATGCCTTTTTGGGTGAAGCTTACTAATTATGACGATCCATTAGTGAATCATCACCACACATCAATAGATGCTTTTGTTGTGGAATAATGCCACTTATCTATCACATTCTTCAAAATATCTGCACGAAGTCGGTACTTTCGTAATCTCCAGCAGTGAGATGTCTCTGTGGAACAGCAGCTGCATTTGCATAACTGAAGCTATTACTCCAATTAGCCCACTCTGACATAAGCTGAGAGATCAAAATGTCAACAGAAGGAAATCTGCTGAGATGACTGAGCCTGCATCATCGATAGCGACTCTTCTCGTAAAAGGGTCAGCAATCCGCGCAGCATAACTGCGTTTCAACAGGGCTCTCATTTGTTTTAAGTGTCGTGGCCGAGGAGATCAGGAGCAAAGCTTTATATGTGCAGATACACGAGAAGGACTGCCTGGAATCTTGCTCTCCCAGCAGAGCTCCGAATAACGCCGCTCAGAACCAATTATGGGCCAGCCACTCGGAGGCAGATCGTTTGGAAATTTGTATACTGTCTTTCCCCATACTCAGTTGTTTTTTGTGGATGACCGTGGAGATATATACGCCTGCCCTGTTACTGAAATAATTGCTTATGCCCATTACTTTGATATTAACGGAGTCAAGGCGGACAAGAACAAAGGGGCAAATAACTACCTTGTGAGCTGCAATGAGAACAAACAAGAGTATGTTCCAAATTGAGGTCTGCTAATATAATGTTAATTAAAATGGCTTTTTACAAATTATCTCCTTGATTACAATGACTTAAGGTTTAATTAGAGCCATAGCAAACACCCACGCAGGCAAGAACATACACGCACCACATACGCACACATACACACAAAAGAGAGCGTTAACCTTCAGTGGGTTCAGATTTCACCGGCCCAGAAATCTCAATTAGACGCCTGGTCAGCCGTCACTTGTAATTAAAATATTATCATGCGTGGAGGTAATTAGAGAGTGTGGAGGTGAGACGGTACGCAGCAGCTCACTGACTGGTGATGGAAGAAGGTCTAAGGTGGACAGTGATGAGCATTCCTACCCTGTAAAACAAGAAAGAATTTGTGAAAACTGTAAAAGTATGTTCCTGTAAGTAGGATTTAATCAATCCATTTTGAAACGAATTCCACTAACATGTCACGTTTAAGTGTTTACAGTTGTTGACGCGCATCTCGCGCTGTAGGGATCTCCTAGCCACTGTTGATATACAGATGGGGAAATGCGCAAGTGTTTGGGATCATAGATCTTTATGCAGAGTTATTCCATCTGTGATTATGATAGCTTGTATCTGTCTCCCAGCAGCTAGTCTGGATGTCCCTGGCTGGCGGCATAATCACTGGTCACTGGCTGGCGGCATAATCAGTGGTGTTGCACTGTCTGCATTAACCTTCTTATCGTCTGGGTGACTGCTGTTGCCAGGGGGGCTGATGGCTAGACATACCCCTGGAAGGAAGCCATTGACTTCTTTTTCTTTCTCGGTTTAGAATCAGCTTAAGTTGAAGCTGAGAGAGGAGGCAGGTTGCTCCCCATGGAAAATACCTGCATGTTGATTATAACTAGCCAGTTAGATTCAAAAGGTTTAATTACAAAGGTGCCAGTTTCATTCACATCATTATGCACCAATAGAACATTAGTCATTAACAGCAATAATTATTTACATATATTTGTTTACCAAATAACTTTGTGGAGACCTTTTGACCATGCAAAAGAATCACTGAATCTAGAGTTCTGTTTCAATGTAAATGAATAGAATTTACCAACTTTAAACCATTGACTTAAGAACATGTCTGTCTTAACGCTCTCATTCCTGCAAGTTGCAAGAAAAAGAGGATTGTGAAATTAGTCATGCTGTTTACAAAATTTAATGACCAAATATAAAATGCATTAAAGTCTTTGCATAATTCATGATTTTGCTTAATTTCAAACCACTAGTAATACCACCACAAATATATTGCGAATATTTGATATATATCACCCAGTTCTGTGTACTTCTAGTCATTTATTAAAAAAGCGCTGCTTTCCAGAAGACTCTGAAGTCTCTTTTTCAATGTGAGTCAAAGAGTCATCATATGCAGATCATTGAGGCCTTTTCATCTGCATTTGCAAAGTTAAAAAATCCCCTGGCATGCTCTTAATTTCCTTCCTCCATTTATTTATTTCTTTGATATGTTCATATTAGCATCCTCAGAAGTGGTGTGAGGAAAAGTGGCACTGGAAGAGAGGAAACTTTCTTCTCTAACCCCCAACCCCTCCTCTATTCCCCTGTCTGGCTTAATGACATTTTGAAGAGCGTGGTCTGACTTAGGATGGTTTTGTGGTTGGGGGGAGGCTGGAGGAGTGACGACAGGAGCAGACTCACTGCAGCAGAACAGACCATATGTGCTTTGAAAGAGAATGGGAGAGTTTGCCTTTGAAAGCCCAGGCAGTTAACTAGAGTCTTTGTGTAAAATAACATTACTATTGAAAGGCAATTACTGGTGACATTATTTTGGTTGCTGCATAATTAAATTCATTTTTGTTCTCTCTCTCTTTCTTTTTCTTTCTCTCTCTCTCTCTCTTTAATTCTGTCTCTTTCCCCCAGACGGAGAATTATTCCATTGACTCAAGTTATGTAAACAGCAGAGCACACCTAATTAAAAGGTATGTCTTTATAAAGCAATCAGATTAACTTACCTCACTCTTTTTTATGCATTCTTAAAGTGGTCAGATCATACATTTTTTTAGCTGTTAAATGTTTTATGCTGCTCACCATTTAATAAACACCCCATTTGCATGTGTAATGAGCAATACAATTTATGTACCGTATATTCCACTTTCTCTCACCTTGACTGAGCAGACTTAAGTTTTTGATTTTTTGGGTCTCTGATGTTGGATATTTCGGAATGAGATGTTTTTGCATAACAGTTTAAATGGATGGGCATACGCTACAGTACAACAATCTCTTTATCTCACAAGGAAAAAAAAAACTCATCATATTACCCATTTTAGATGGCATTTGTCTTAAAAAAAAAAAAAAAAAAAAAAAGTTGTTGGCTCATAAACCGTATTAGGGTTTGGTCACATACCATAGGCAAGATATTAATACTCAACATGTTTATAAATGGCCAGTGTTAAGCTTTATTTACTTAGTATCATAAGTGATTAAGCACATCCCTGCAAAAATGTGTATACATATTACATGTTAGAGAATATTAAAGCTGTAGCCAAGAGCAGAGGCTTGGGCAGTTAAGCTACATCCATGTAGATGTTAATCAAATTGCTAAATCTACAAGAATTTAAATCCTGGAATTCCAGAGGATTCTTCCTCAGTACACACAAGGAGGGTTTTGTTAGGCCACGGAGATAAGAAAAAGGTAACCTTATTTTGCATTGTGGAAGAAAAGAGCAAGGACAATAGATCCTTTGTACTGGCAGGACTTGGCCAGCATTCCTCAGTCCACCTAAAAGGATGCTATTGACTGACATGGAGCACTGGCATGCAGACATCCCTAATGAAGGTCCTCGGCTGCCTGGGGGCCCGGCTGCTATGGATGTGCACCGTGACTGCAATGCCTCTCTTACCTGGAGCAAAAAAAACCTTCCTGTTTACCTCAGTACTGCATTTTTCAAACCAATTACAGCAATTTTATCTTCAAAAAAAAAAAAACAACATTGCCTATGTTTACATAAACAAAGAGTATTCAAGTGTCGACTATTTGGCTCTGCGACACTACAAAGAAATCCCCTCCAGAGCCTGTGGGCGAACAGTCTGGGACAGGTGCAATTAGACTGATAAAATCAGAGACTGCACTACCACCATTGCAGTGCCATTGCTAGAATCCTTCTCTCTCTCCCTCCTCTCTTTCTCCTTAGAAGAGGCTACAGAGATGCTTTTGTCTATGTATGTCAGTGTGTTTATGTGTACACATGCGTTTCTGATCCTTGCTGTTGTTTTAGAGGCAGAATGTGTTCCACTGGGCTAGCTATCAAATTAAGGGAAATCAGGCTTGTGCACTGCAGCTGTCAATTGGCAGCTTTTTCCCTCCTCTCGCTCTTGTATGTCAGTGAATGAGGGTAAAGAGGAAAAGCACAGTTTGCTCAAATTATTACACCTCTATTTCAAAACTTCCACAAATTTATGTGACCAACATAAGTTCTCCTTAATAAGACAGTGACCTGATTTTTTTTTTTTTCACATTGAAAACCCCATGAAATCAAATATTTGTAGCTTTTGTCCAAATTTAAAAGTCTTTCTCTTCCAGGAAAATGAACCATAAATATTGATAGGTCATCTTATGTGCAGTGGTGTAATACAAGATGTCTGTGTTGTTGTTTTCTTTTCTTCTTTTTTTTTTTTTAAAGATGTCACATTTTATATGGAAATATTTATACTTTTTTTTAAGATATATTTTTTCTGTTCACCAAGAAATTAAATTATTGTCATTAATTACTCACCCTCATGTCATTCCAGAAGGTGAATTTTATGGAATTTTTATTCAGTAGGTGAAGTTCCAAAAAAGATTGAATATATATCATAAAAGTAGTAGAAAACAGGTGAGTCATTTACTATAAGTATTCTGAAGCCATTAGATGTCACAGAGTCAGGATAAAAATCAGAAAATAAAAATATTCACCTCTGCTGTTGCTCTCAAATCAAATATAAGAGTGATTAAATGATGACAGAGATTTCATTTTTGGGTGAACTATCCCTTTGATGCTTCTACAATCAACAGATATACAGTACAAGACGTTTCTTTCTGACATAGTCTGTATAAAATGTAGGAAATTTACCACAGCAACACATAAGAGTTCTGCACAGCCATAGACCAGTCACCCCTGATCTTTTACCCCACTATATCAGAATGTGAGAAAAGCCGCCTTTTTTTAGCTTTACCATCTGTGCAGCTAATAGCTAAACAAAGATAGCACTGGGTGAAGAGACTGAAAGAATGACAAAACCAAAGTTGACAGTTAAATAACACTTTCCTTCTTTCTCTCTCATCTTTTCTACTTCACCTGGCTATAGCACTTCAACATTCAAGGACATGGAAGGAAACAGTCTGAAGGACAGTGGCCACGAGGAGAGTGACCAAACCGACAGCGAACATGACGTTCAGAGAGGGCACTATGCCGACACAGCTGTAAATGACGTACTGAATATGACCGTACCCCCCAACAACTCGCAGCTACCTGACCAAGGTAAGACAGAAAGGTCTCGACTAGCTGAAAGCATCCAGAAAAAAATATCAAGCCATAGCTTCGCATGGAGAGTCGGCTTTGAGGCGCCTTGCAAATGCACAGGCAGCACTTCTCTTCCTGGCTTGTCTTTGATACAAGCCCAGGAACATTATTGACGGATGTGAGCCACGTCTACAGTCGACTGCAACACTTCAGATCCAGACCTAAATGGCAGCAATTAGGCTGACAAAGGTTGAAGGTGGAAATCTACATATCACGCAGTCTCCTCATGCATAATTCACACGAATCATTTAGCAGGGAATTAATGTTGATGTTTCTTTTTTTTCGACTGCCGTTAAAGACATCCGGTATGTTGGCAGGAGTCAGTAGGAGGTCATGTTCACTCTCAGCTACTGCCACTCAATGCTACAAAGTTATAGAGCAACGAGTGGCAGCGCTACAGAGAATCAAAGCATGGAGAAGACAAAAGAGGGCTCCGAATGGTTTTATTGCACTGGTTGTTTTGTGTTGTCATGCTCAATCAGCCTTTGATCTGTGTAATTTAGAACAATGGAACACCTCCAGCGGCTGCTAATAGTCAATAGCGAGAACTCCATTCTTGTCAGACGGAAATTAGTCAACCAATTTTCTGACTTACAATGAGAACTTGACATTTGCTGAATAGAAAGAGAGCAGAATAAAGAGCATTTCTGAGGGAGATGAGGTCATTAAAATCGGCAGGACGGTCTCTCAGATTGGAGTTTAAAGAATGTGCGGCATTGTGGCTTGCCTGCGATGCACAAAATCAAGCCTGGCTGCGTCTGACTCATAGTACCGCTGCTTACTGATCTCAGTGTCTTGCTTGGGGAAGAAGAGCCTAATAAGAGAGCTAAGGAAGAGAAAAGACTGAGTTAACGGCTATAAAATAATTTAGCTTGTTCTTCCTCATTTCGTTTTGTCCCCACTTTGTAAAGCAGGAGCCTGAATTATGTAGAATTGGCAGGTGAACCAATTAAGATCTCATTTGGTACAGATCGTGTGCTCTATGGCTAATTCCAGCAGGCTAATTAACCGGTTTGTTCTCCAGATGAATCGCAAGATGTATGGCTACCTGGCAACCAGACAGGAGGAAACTTCCTCCCATTTACATTTTTCAATGTAAATGCGTCAGATGCATCAGCAGATTTGTTTGAGCGTTACTAGGCTTGCCACGTGTTGTCTGAGCTATGGAAAACGCTGAGAGGAATGACAAGCCTCTGGGTTTCCATGATGGAGATCTTTCTGCATTTCTTCCACCGCCAAATTCCTGTCAACGTATAATGAACAATGATTAGTGAGTCTCACGACTACGGTTTAAGCTGTTGTAGATGTCTCTCTGTAAGAGAAATGCATATATAGGAACATAAAATGCACTCTGACATACCCTCCAGCTCGGCACTCACATAATTGGACACAATTAGAAAAATGTACACAGAGAATGTTACAAGTAGATGAAGCCTTTCCAGGTCAGCCATTTTATCATTAGCAAAACTCTTATCTGCTCATGAGCTAGCAAACATTGAAAATAAAGGATAGCAGATAAGCAAAATGAGCAAGCACTTCAACGTCGCTGTCATCGGTTTTAACCAAAGCCATTAGACAGTGACAAATATCAGATCCTAATGTCATTTTGAGGCATGTCGTCTATTATATTATTCTGCAGCAGCTACAGGCCCTTTGTACCCAATGAAAAGCAGTGCAGTGGACACACAGCTCTTATTTGAGTGCTTAAAATGTCTTTAGCCACAGATATGTCGAAGCTTGTTGATAAATATGAAATGAACTGACCACTGACCCTACATATACAGAAATATAATGGAATTCATCCTCCATTACAATCTCTGTGGTTTTATGTAGTGCGACAGTCCCTGAAAAAATCCCAGACATTTTCTCCGTAAGGTAATTGGTTTTTAACAATAACTTATGGTCACACTTTATTTTAAGGTCCAATTCTCGCTATGAACAAACAGTTAACTATGACTTTTGCCTCAATAAACTACTTCCTCCCATTTACATTTTTCAATGTAAATGCGTCAGATGCATCAGCAGATTTGTTTGAGCGTTACTAGGCTTGCCACGTGTTGTCTGAGCTATGGAAAACGCTGAGAGGAATGACAAGCCTCTGGGTTTCCATGATGGAGATCTTTCTGCATTTCTTCCACCGCCAAATTCCTGTCAACGTATAATGAACAATGATTAGTGAGTCTCACGACTACGGTTTAAGCTGTTGTAGATGTCTCTCTGTAAGAGAAATGCATATATAGGAACATAAAATGCACTCTGACATACCCTCCAGCTCGGCACTCACATAATTGGACACAATTAGAAAAATGTACACAGAGAATGTTACAAGTAGATGAAGCCTTTCCAGGTCAGCCATTTTATCATTAGCAAAACTCTTATCTGCTCATGAGCTAGCAAACATTGAAAATAAAGGATAGCAGATAAGCAAAATGAGCAAGCACTTCAACGTCGCTGTCATCGGTTTTAACCAAAGCCATTAGACAGTGACAAATATCAGATCCTAATGTCATTTTGAGGCATGTCGTCTATTATATTATTCTGCAGCAGCTACAGGCCCTTTGTACCCAATGAAAAGCAGTGCAGTGGACACACAGCTCTTATTTGAGTGCTTAAAATGTCTTTAGCCACAGATATGTCGAAGCTTGTTGATAAATATGAAATGAACTGACCACTGACCCTACATATACAGAAATATAATGGAATTCATCCTCCATTACAATCTCTGTGGTTTTATGTAGTGCGACAGTCCCTGAAAAAATCCCAGACATTTTCTCCGTAAGGTAATTGGTTTTTAACAATAACTTATGGTCACACTTTATTTTAAGGTCCAATTCTCGCTATGAACAAACAGTTAACTATGACTTTTGCCTCAATAAACTTCTAATTTGCTGCTTATTAATAGTTAGTAAGGTAGTTGTTAAGTTTAGGTAATGGGTAGGATTAGGGATGTAGAATATGGTCATGCAGAATATGTGCTTTTTAAGTACTAATAAGCAGCCAATATGTTATTAATAGGCATGCTAATAAGCAACTAGTTAATAGTGAGAAGTGGTCCACATACTAAAGTGTTACCTATCTTATAAACCTTTAAAGACTGACCTGCTGGTAGCTATGAGGTTGTTAATCAATGGTATATGCTTTTGTCGAAATCATCAGCCTACATTATTTCATTATCTCCTACATTATCTCAAAGTTTACAGTGTTGTGATTCATCTTGTAGTTGGTTTGTTTGGTTCATGGCTTATAATGCAAAAAAGTAGGCGGGCACTGTTGCACTTTCATATGTTGCTTATGACTGAATTGGCCAAAAACACAATACCCAGGACGAGAATTTCAAACCCAGGACAAGACTGCCTGAGAAACTTACTTGAGGTAAATTGTTTGCTGTAAATTCTGATAGATCCTCGGGTGTTTGGTGAATCTTACCTTATTTTGTTGTTTAAAAAGTGCTACACTAGGGTGTGGTGTTAGTGTAATAAATTTAAACAATCACAGAATCACTGAAAACCAACATGGCAGAATTCCCAGCTAGGAAATAGACACACTCATTCACCAGGACACTGAGGCATATAGCGGTTGTAGTGGGAATACTTCTGATCTACCGTTTTACTCTTCTAGTACAGTGAAACAAGTTTAAACTTCAATTGCCAAAGGACATAAACAGAGAGTCTGGATATCAAGACTCTTCTTTGTTTCCCCTTTTTGCTTTTGTTTTCATGTTTTTTTTTACCCTCATTCTTCCTGGAAACAAACAGAGGCAGGAAGTTGAGGGATAGCAAGCTCCCTCCTGTCTCGTTCCCCAGGCTCCCGAGCAGTGTAAATGTTTATGATTCACGCAGCTCTTTGAAAAGGTAACGTTTGCACTAGGGACATAGTGTTACCTCCGATTTAAAATGGCTCCTCCCCAATTTCTCTTTCCATTGTGAGATGGAGTGTGAGAATGGGGGGAAAGCCCTCTTAGGACTGTAGTCTCTTAATAAACAATACACAAACACTTCCTCAGGGGTGCTTCCTTCATAGCCTTTTATTCTATTACAAGGATCTATGTCTACTTCCTGCAGTTTGCGCTCCTTTTCTTTTAAGAATATGGCAATTTATGGTGGCTCCCATAGCACGAAACTTCGCACTTATCGGGAGATGGCGTGTCCTTGACAGGAAAGCGTGGGAGACGGTGCTAATGCTACTGTAGCAGGACCATGGTGGTCAACATCCAAGACTAAAGATTGCATTAGGGCAGAATTACCAGTGAAACAGTGATGAATGGGTTACGGTGTGGACGTCACTGCCTGAACCCTTCCCTCTGTGTTTAAAGGGATAGGCATTTTGGGGTGAACTATCCCTTTAAAGCCTCCCTGTGTTGAATTATACATCAGTTTACTAGCAAAAGACTCGGATGATGGTACTTGATATAAATAGCATATAAACATGAAAAATACTTTCCACATCCCTTCAAGAGCATTTACGGCACATACGTGCCCAAATAAATCTCTAAATCTCAAGGATCGACTGCCTGTTTTGTTTGTTCTAGGCCAGAGGTCTGGTTGATGGCTATTTGTAGAGTTCCCAGTCTCACCAGACAAAATGACAGTCACCATTAAGCTCTTCTTCTCCTCTCTCTTTTTTCCCACCCCCCGAGGAGATTGAGGAGCTTTGGCTGCTCAATTTGCAGCTGCTGAGTTCCAGCATGTTCCACTCAGAGTGTCCCCGACCCCAGGAGTCTTTTATTCATCAATTCCTTTGTCCCCATGGGCTTGTATCTCCTCCCATGCCCCGGGATTTCACACTCCCTCCACCACCCAGTGCCCCATCAGCAGACTCCGGCTTCTAATTGATTTTGATGAAATTGATAAAAGAGTTTCCCTTTTTGTCTCCATCACCCCCCCATGGACCCCTCCACTCATTCCCAACCCCTCCCTCTTAGTCACCCTCTCCTTCTCTCCAATCCGCTACTGGCAAGA